TGGTTTTGAAATTATCTGTAGCATCTATAGTAATCTCCTCTTATCCTTCCTGGTATTGGTTATTTATGCTGCCTTTTATTTTGATCAAGATCACTAGGAGTGTGTTAGCTTTGGAAGTTTTTAAAAAAATGTAATCCTTCAGATTTGTTGGTTGTTTTATTAACTTATAAATTTGATTTTATTAATACTAAATTTTATATTTTGTTTTTTCTTTATGTTGTATAACTTGCGATCTATTTTTACATAATTAACTTTGTTTTTCTAATATATCCATCTCGAGGCTGTAAAATTCACTTTCTGTATTGCTATGGCTATATCCTATAGATTTTGAAATATAGTAAATTAGTATTACTGACTTAATAATCTCCTATATTTCTTAATTTATAAACCAAAGAGAGTATTTTAAGTTTTTATTATGATTTCTAGCATTAGAGAGCACACTAGACTGAGTACTTTCAAATTTACCAATATTTGCTTGATGACCCAGTGTAAGATTAGTTTTTGTAAATGGACCTTACATACCTGGCAGCAATATATATCCTAGTTGTGTGGTGTTCCATTAATGAGATTACTGGTCATAATCTTTAAGTTTGTATATCCTTTCTGTTTCTGTGTCTTTATTGAGTTTCCCCTTATTTTTTATTAATTACTTTGCAGAAAAATGTCTCAGTTGTGAATTACTGTTATTTGTAGTTCTCTCAACTTTTTAAAGCTGATATTATTAGGTATGTTTATTATTTAGGATATGATATATAACATAGTATTGTCATTTATATGTAATTTTTTATTTTATTACCTTTGTCTCTGGTAGCACTTCTTTGTTTTAGAACAGTTTTTCTCTTAGGACTATACAGATTTTCTTGTGTTTGTTTGCATGATAAATCTTTACAAATTAATTCTTGTCCTCTCCTTTCTTCTTCCTTATCCTTCCTCTCCCTCCCTTGCTTCCTTCCTTTCTTTCCTCCCTTCCTTTTGTACTGGTGATTAAACTCAGGGTCTTCACACTGAGCTACATGCCAGCCCTTTTTTATATTTTATTTCAAGACAATATCTCACTAAGTTGTCCAGTCTGGGCTTGAACTTGAAATCTTTCAACTTTGGTCTCCCAAAATACTGGATTATAGGTGTGAGCCACTAAGCTTGACTTATATCTTTGTTTTATATGTCTCTTATAAATAGCATATTGTTGTTTATAATTGTATCTCTTCTAAAAATCTTTGTCTTTTTTACTGGTAAACTTGGCTTTCACATACATCATCTCCATCATGTGTCATGTTTTATATACTACTGTATTGTGTTGTTATCGTCATTTGTTTTAATGATTTATTTATTTTAAAAAAGCAAAACAAAAAGGATAGAAATGATACAGAATTTCAAAAAATAGGAAATTAACACTAATTAATATATTGCATATTGAGTTTTAGTGATTTAAAATATTATTAAATATTAAAACATTATCCAGGATGAAGGGATAGTAACAGTTTGACACATTTGTAGCAAGAGGTGTATAGAAGAGAATTTATAGCTTTATATCATTATCTGTAAATAATTGATAGGCATAGATAAGTTTGGTATATTCATATAATGAAACACTATTAAGCAAAGGAAATGAACTATATTTATACATGTAAATATCTAAAACATGTTGAATAAAAACCAAGACATATATATACTGTGAAAGTTAATGTTTAAAACACTACTTATACATAATTATTCGATGAAACTATAAAGAAAATGAGAATAAAGAATATAGGTATTAAGAATATTACAGATGAGGGAGGCAGAAGGGGAAAACTAATCAAGAGGTCCTTTAGCCTTTACCAATACTGGTTAATTCATGGATATAGTTGGTGGATCATTAATGGATTTAGAATACAATCTGATTCATTGTTAAATTACACATGCCTCTCTTCCTTATGTCTTGTTCCTGTCAAATACACTTCTCCCAATTCTAATTCATCCCTAAGGTAATAGTGAATCTAAAGGATGGGTTCTAACTGAGGGCATATTTCTATTGGTAACTGTTATATTTGACTCAGCTTTGTAAACATTTATACAAATTGTGTAACAACAGCAGAAATTGAAATTGTTTCCTCTTCATAGAAAACTAGTCTCATCATTTTATGGAAAAAAGGTAAAACAAAATTTCTTAACAGAATAATAGAATATCAGTTAATACGGTAGTTGCTCAGTGTATAAGATATGGGCATAAAAGTTTCTCCAATGGATATTAGCACAAACCTTCATTTTTAATGATCTAAGAGACCCTAACAATGTATCCTACTTGCATTTTTTCCATTTTACCTACTGTTCTATTCCCTTTCACCCATCCTGATTCCTTTATCCTTTTGAACAATTTCTTCCCATTTTACAATATCTGTTTGGATCCTGAGAAGATGGCGGATTGATAGGTAGCAGGGTAGAGAGTCTCTCTGAGAAAAACAGTATCTGTTGTACATTTTAGACCTTATTTACTTTTGTAGTTTCTCACACAAGGCAGACAATACAGTGTTTACACATGTGAGTGATTTATTTCATTTATTAGTATGGTCTCAAATTGCATTCATTTTCCTATGAAAGTGTCACGTGTGTCCTTATTTATAGCTGAGTACTACTACATTGTATAAAAATATATCCTTTTAATCCATTCCTTGGTTGACTGGCATTCTAAGATTTAGCCATTATAAATTGTGCTGTTATAAACATGAGTGCACATATATCTCTGTGGTATGTTTTTAACTCTTCAGAAAAGATACCTAGGAGGGGAAGAGTTGGGTTGATAGGGACCTCTAATCATAGGTTTGTGAAGAATCCCCACACTGATTTCCATAGTGGTTGTATCAGTTTACACTCCCACCAACAGGGGAAAAGAGTTCCGTTTTCCTCACAGTCCTTCTAGCATTTGTTTTTGGTTGATTTCTTGATGGTAGCCATTCTTTCTGGGGTGAGATGGAATGTTAGTGTTGTTTTTGAAGTAAGTGTAGCTCATTCTGCTTTTCCAATGGGACTTGTACCCTGAGTAATTTTTTATTCTTCTGGGTCAAATACAGGGCATGAGTCAAATACAGAGCATAAGATGGTGTCAGTGATGCCAAGCTACAACAGTTTTAATTTGTAGTTCTTATAATATGTAGTTCAATGATGTTAAACATTTTTTCATATATTTATTTGCCATTTTTTCACCGGAGAAGTGTCTGTTGATCTCAGGTGCCCATCTTTGGATTTGTTCTTTAAATTTGTGGGGTCTGATTTTTCCGTTCTTTATATGATCTAGATATCCTTTGTCTGAGAGACCATTGACTAAAATCTTTTCTCACTTTGTGTGTTGTCTTTTTTCACTCTGTTGGTGATTTCTTTTGATGTGCAAAAGTTTTTTTTAATAAGATGAAATCCTGATTGTTGAAGTATTTCCTGTGAAGTATGTTTTTTGTTCATGAACTCTCTGTCTACACCCATGTATTCAAGATTTCTAACTACTTATCTTCCAGTAGATTTAGTGTTAACATTTTTAGTATTTAGATCTTTGATCCATTGTGACTTTAGTGCATGGTAATAGCCATGGGTCTAATTTTAGTCGTTGGCATGTAGTAAGCCAGTATTTCCAGCATCATTTCTTCTTCTAGTGAACATTTTTGGCCCCTTTGCCAAAGCAAAATGAAATGAAATAAAAAACCTAGAGAGAAACCAAAGAAACCACACCATTCACATTAGCATCCAGAAAATGAAAATGCATTGGAATCAGTCTAACAAAGGATATAAAGTATTTGTATATTGAGAATTACAGTACTCTGAAAAAGGAGATCAAAAAAGATATCAGAAAATAGGAAGCCAGCCTTTGTTCATGGATAGGAAGCACCAACATAGTGAAAATGGCCATACTTCCAAAATTGTTATACCAATTTAATGGCATTCTGATCAAAATACCATTAGTGAGGAGAGGTGATCCCTACCTGAAAAGCAATACCATGTGCGGGCTACTGCCAAAGTGGGTACAGTCACACCCAAGCCTCTGTCAGAGAGTCTGTACCTTTTGCAGACTACAGGGGTGGGGGGAGAGCCATAGGGCTTGCCAGGAGGTCATCTCTACTGGGAAACCATATAATTTTCATTGTTTCGTTGGGTTGGGTTTTATTCTCTTTTGTTTTGTTTGATTATGTTAAATCTGATGGCATGAGCAGCTATTCAAATGATAACAAGACATATTATGGTAACCATTTGGATTTACTAGTGACTTGTTTTGAAGTCCTTTATTGCACATACTGTTTTGGTTTGTTTGTATTCTATTCTGATCTGTTCAATTTTTACTAAGTCGTAAAGTATCTGCAGTTGTTTTGAAGACAAAAGGCATTGTGGTAACCATTGTTGGTTTTGAAGATTTTGAAGTCCTGTATCACTTATACTAGTTTATTTTTTATTATTTTTTCTATTTTATTTTCCTCGGTTTTATCGTTTTTCAAATTAAACAAACACCATTAGCGTATCTCACAGAACTAGAAAAAACATTCCTAAAATTCATCTGGATCCAGAAGAGACATAGAATTGCACAGGCAATGGGTAACAAAAGCAAGCTGGAGGCATCACAATCCCTGACTTGAAAGTGTACTGCAAAGCTACTGTAATAAAATCAGCAAGATACTGGCAAAATAAAACAGACCTGAGGACCAGTAGAACAAATTAGAAAATACAACACAACAAAAAATTTGCTTTGTTTTTGAATGCACAGGTTTTTTGCCCAACTGGAATAGTTACTTTTCATATAAACATGAAGAACTGAAATTAATCATCTTAAATGCATTGAGATAAATTTGTGATTGTTTATTATTTGTCAAGAGTATGTATTTTAGGGAATAAAATTGTCAAAAATCTAAGGAAAATGATCCGACCATAATTTTCGTGAATAAATAATATTGTAACATTAGCAAAACCACAAAATGAATATGGAATATTTTGCTTTAATCCACATTACTTACTGATATGCATGCTATTTTCTTTACTTAAAGGTCAGTAAATTAGAATTAGAACTAGAAAGTGCCAGACAAAAATTTGAAGAAATGACTCACAACTATCAAAAAGAAATTGAAGACAAAAAGTTATCAGAAGAAAATCTTTTGGGACAGGTGAGAAAAACTAAATATGTTTAGAACTAAATATGTTTAGAATATAGAATCAAATTCTATATTCACTAGCATTTAAAGAAAAAAGTAACGATTCTTAAATTATGATTTTTAGAAAAATTTAATGTTTATATTAGAATCAATTATCAACTTCTATAGAAACAAAAAGTATCCCTGTTATAAATATAAACATTGGGAAATAAGCTAAAACTGTGATTGTTACAGTTACTTTTCTCACTGGGAAAAAATTCTTGACATCCACAAATTAAAAATAGAAGAGATTTATTTTAGCTCACAATTTGTAGAGGTTTCAGTCAATAGTTGATTGGCTCCAACGCAGGGTGACATGACAGAGGGGCACAAACAGTCCCTGGCTTGGTGGGCAGAAGGCCAAGAGCAGCAGACAACAAACAGCAGCAAGCTTCTCTTTCTCTTATATCCCTTTTAGTCTATAAGCCTTTTGGGTAATGCACCACACCCAGGTGATCCTTCACATTGTTCATACCCATAGCTATGCTAAACCAATCAGTGGACTAATTTAGTTCACATATCCTTGATCCAGCCACCACTGAAAATCCCCACCTATGAGTGATTGAAGACTTTGGGGGTACATCTAGATACAAGCCATAATGGTGACACGTTTTCTGCATGATTTGATAATTTACTGGTGTTTGAGTTTTCTATTTTTATGTAAAATATATACTTTGCTTTATACATTTAAGTTAAATTTGTTTTTTGTGCATTAATATTAAGAAATACTATTTGATAGGTTGAGAAGGCAACAGTAAGAGCTGATGAAGCAGTAAAATTGCAGAAGGAAATTGATATACGATGTCAACATAAAATAGCTGAAATGGTAGCACTTATGGAAAAACATAAGGTAATTTTTTCATATAATAAAATTACTAATTTTTGTTTTCTTTTATTAGGACATGTTTGCAGTTCACACTACAAGAGAGCAAAGAGGGAAGGTGTAAGGGGATTATCAAAAATTAATTGAAGTCATTTCTGTGCAAAAAGTATTGAATTCCTTATAATATTCTTATTTGTCAGAAAAAATTATTGTCTATACAACAATGACTAATTAGAGATGGTATACTCTTGATCCTTTGTTTCTCTAAGCTCATCTCATAACCATACAAAGATGGACTTGGGTGTCATATCCTAGAGTAAACTCTACTAGACTGTTCTGGTAGTTCTATAGCACTTTCTATATTTTATTTAAATACATATTCAGCATATCCTACAGTAATATTTGTATCTTCTATGTGTATCTAATGCTTACTAAACATTGAGCTTGCCAAGTAGGCGGCTATGCTGCTGAGTGATATCCCTGGCCCACAGGCTAAATAATTTTTAATAAAAGAATAAATAGGTTGAAAGGCTTACTGTTTGTGGTGCTTTTGTTTTCTATTTTTGTTAATGGTTAGAGCAATTATTCTATTAGGAATATCCCTTATTCTCCTTATGATTTGGAGAGGAAGTAGGCTATATCTACCTATTCATTTTTAAAAATGAGTAGGGTGCTGGAATCTAACATTATTATGTAACTAATGAAAATTTAAAAAATAAGTAACGTGAACTCATAGAGTTAAACAAATTTATTACATTTCAATCTAGTGAAACTTTTATCGCTGTTAATACTTAAATTGTCTCACCTTTGACCAGTAGAAACCTTTTAAAGTTGGCTAATAATTCCTTTTGATTTGATTTTAATAGTCTCTGGTAGCTTACTTTTTGTCATGACATTTTAAGGCTCCTTTTGTGTTTTCTGTCTCAGATTTGGAGTTGGCCCCCTTTCTAAGAAGTCCTCATGTTTCTGATTACTTTTTAAATGGTGAAATTTAGTGTTTCCAATAAAAGGAGTTACTTCTTACTCTTAGGTTAGATTGTTTCCACACTGTATAAGTTTTACTTGCTGTTGAATAACTTTTAGGTTACTTCAATGAAAAAATATACTTGAAAAAGCTATATATCTGTACTGTAATAAACATCCTTTTATTGGGGATATTACATGTATTTGAATACCAATATTTAAAAACATAATTATTAAGCTTTAATATCTTTAACACAGCATCAATATGATAAGATTGTTGAAGAAAGAGACTCAGAATTAGGACTTTGTAAGAGCAAAGAACAAGAGCAGTCATCTGTGAGAGCATCTTTGGTGAGATACAAACCAAATATTAACAATTTTTATAATGTTACCATGCTTGTGGTAAAAATAGTATCGTATAAAATAATAATTTTTGAACTATGGAAGCATGGTCTTATCTGAAAGGATTTTTACAGATCTTCGTAGGTAGTTTTCTAATTTATTTTTTGTAATAGCATAATAAATTCTCTTTTCAAGTGAAATATTATAAGCTTCAGTTAAAAAGTAAATTTCAAGCTCTGAGTGGGAAAGGAGAGTGAGATTAGGAGAGGATAAGGACAAATATACTTAGTGTTAAATCTTTCTTTGGAGAAAACTAATCCTTGTTTAAGTAAAGTCTACTTACAATCTTTGTATCTGCTGACATTTTGAGGGATATTTTATTAGTGAGTTTCTTTATATGGCTGACTACTTGAAACTACTTGAAACACTGGTTCACATTTTCATAGTCATGAAAAATATATGGGAGTACTTTCAAACTTTGTTTTTTTTTTTTCTTTAGGAGATTGAACTATCTAATCTCAAAAATGAACTTTTGTCTATTAAGAAGCAACTTGAAATAGAAAGAGAAGAAAAAGTAGGTTTTATGTCATAATAGGTAAAATGACTATAGGGTTTATGTATAACTTTGCATTTTTATAAGCATGTTATTTTAGAAATAACTTGATAAATTTGGTTAACTAGAGATAAAAAAGTGCATCTTTTCCCAGTTAGCCTTTTTCCAGAAAAAAATGTATTTAGTTCATTCTTTCAATTAAATGTCAAACACTTAGGATTTACATGCACTCTTAAGACTAACAATATTTTTAAATATTCCATAATTAATTAAGAAATTTTGCATATATTTATATTACTATATTTAATGTAATTTTAAAGTTATTGTTTCAGAAAATGACATGTGTAGCATTTTGCATTTTACAAAATGGATTGACTCTCATTTTAACAAATACTGTTTTTTCCCTTTTTTATGGCAGGCACTGTGCTGAGTACTGTACTTATATCAAATTTTATCCTTTCAACAGTGTCGCATGCAATACTAATTATGCTGATTTTTAGGGAGGTTATTTATTCAAAATCATATAGTAAGAATGGAGAATGGCTAGAATTCAAATGTGTGTTTTATTTTTCATGACTTTGGAACCTCACCACTTAATCACTCCACAGCAGTTTAGAATGTATACTTTCAGTGTTAAACCTCTGTGAACTTTTAAACTTTCTACATTTCTTTTTATACTTTTCCATTGGTGGAAAATCTTGTATAGCATTCATCTTACAAATGTGATTTTACTGTATATAAGTATTTGCATAGCACTTTTTATATTGATAGGTTATTTTAGTCTGGGCGTTTATATTGTATATATAATTCTAGCCTTTGAAGGCTACTTTTACTTGGATTTCTGAATCTAAACTCAAGCCTTTTCAATTTTTATATTTTCAATAATATTAAAGAAATGACCAAATAGATTACTGTAATAATAATGTTTATACTTGCTTTTATGCTGTTGTTTCAGTCTTCTCTTCTATTTACGTTCTCTTATGTGGTACCCACCCTCCTTGCTGGGAGTTGAACCCAGGTATTCATGCAAGCTAGGTCCTAACTACTGACCTACATCCCCAGCCTTCGCTTTTTGATGTTCTCAACTAAATATTCCGAAGTTTTCAATTTTTTATTTGAATTTTAATTTGAATTTAGCTATTGCTCTACAACTCTTTTGAGTTGGGTCCTGTTGAGCTCTTTAGTGTCTTTTTTAGAGTTAATATCTATTTATTATAATATCTATTTATATATTGTATATCAGAAATAGTTGGTCATTATTCACATAGTTTGTTTCTGGTCATTTATCCATGAATATATATGTATATACATGCCTATTTACATAAATACAAATGTACTTATATACATGAACCAAATATAGATATATTAAAATTTCAGGCCTGATGTAGATTGTATTATTAAAATATATATTATACTGTTGGGTTCCTTTCATTTTTTTAAAGTTCATGATTTTTTATTAATACATATTTGCCATATAAAATGATCGCATTTGTCACAGGGAATTTGTGCCGGTACATAATATATATTGATTTTCTTTTTTCCCATTTCCCTCCCCTCCCTCCAGCCCTTCTTTCCCTCCGCATTTATAAAAGCTTTGTTTACAGTTTTTTCCTTCTATTTAGTTTTTTAACATCTTTTCCATTCCTCCCCTCCCTATTCCTGTTCCCATTGAACATGTTTTTCTTCTTCCCAATATCTGTCCTCTGTTTTTCCTCATTTGCTTTTTGAGTTTCTCACAGAAATAAATAATGCAGTATTTAAATTTGCATGTCCATTTATTTCACTTAAAACGATGGTCTTGAAGTGCATTTATTTACCTAAAAATCCTTCAAACTTATCCTTTGTGGCAGAGAATTATTTCATTATGTGGAAGACATTGTCTTTATCTGTTCATCTTTTGATGGGCATATGAGCTATTTCTAAGATTTTATGTATGTATGTGTGTGTTTTGGGTTCTTATTTATTCATTTATTGAATACACTCTTTTCTGAGGTAGGAATTCACTAATACAAAATTTTCCCCATCAGACTGCTTTCATTATATCCCATAAGTTCTGGTATATTTTATTGCATTATTTAATTGTAGAAACAGTCTATAATTCTTCTTTAATTTCATCTGTGACCCATTGGTTGTTTTGGAGGATATTATTTAATTTCCATGTGTTTATTATTTTTGTAGTTTCTTGCCATAGATTTCCAATTTCATTCCACTATGATCTGATAATATATATGGGATAATTTCAGTTCCTTTACATTTACTTGAGCATGTTCTATGAGCTAGTATATGGTCTATTTTTGGAGAAAGTGTTGTGTGCTAGTGAGAATGTGTATTCTGTTATTGGGTGGAACACTCTGTAGATATATATTAAGTTCATTAGTTCAAAGATTTGCTTCATCTCTGATGTTTCTTTGTTGATTATTTTCTGTTACAGTCATGGCAAACCTTTTAGAGTTTTCAGTGATACAAACAAACCACCATGACAATGTATTATAGGTTTGACACTAGTCTAGTTGATTTGTCTGTTTGTGACAGTGGGGTATTGAAGTCCACTATTATAATTGTGTTGGTGCTTATCTCATTTTTCATATCCCTTACTGTTTGTTTTATCTAGTTGGGTACACCAGCATTTGGTGCATATATGTTTATAGTATCTCTTTTTCTTCTTGGATTGTTACCTTAACAAGTATGTAGTGACCCTGTTTGTCTCTTCTGACCCATCTTGGCTTGGAATCCACTTTGTATGCAAATAGAGTAGCTGTCACTACTATTTTTTGGGTTCTTGTTGCAAAGAATATTGTTTTCCATCGCTTGATTTCAGTATATGAATTTCTTTCTTAAGCTAAATATGTTTATTATATGCAGTATATTGTTGGATCTTATTTCTTGATCCATTCTACCAATCTGTTTCTTTTGATTAGTGAATTGAGACAGTTCTCATTGATGGTTATAACTGATAGGTATTGACTTACTTTCAATATTATATTTTCCTGTTGTTGATTCTCTTTGTTTCCCTTCTATTTAATTGTTCGCCTTGCTTGGTAGATTTATTCTATTGGTAATTCTTGGAGTTATTTTTTAAATTTATTTTTATTTATCTTTTTATTATCTATTTTTATTATCTGGAGTTATTTTTATTATCTGGTTTGGTGGTCATGAATTTCTTTAGGTATTATGAAAGTATCTTATTTCTTCATTGATTTTGAAAGATAATTTTGCAAGATACACCAGTCTGGGTTGGAGATTGTGTTCTTTTACATTGTTTTGATATGGAGTCCCTTTCAAATGCAGATTTATATATTTCTACTTCACTGATTTCAGATTTGGTCAAATGATACATTTACTCAGTAGAACATGAGCAAAAGTGGTATTTGAGAAGCTTTAAGATCAACCACAAGGTGTTCTGTAAGCCTGTTTTTGTCTTTGGTCTCAAGGATAACATGTTCCAGATAGAAATTGCTCTCCCACCTAGAATCCATAAGATGATACTGAAACCAACCTGTAATTAATACATTCATAAGGTTTGGAATTATTTGCTACCACAGTGAAATTTAGTCTGAACTCACTGGTAGAGGGATCTTACTATTACATAAATGTATAGTTCTAAAAAAGCGTATTACTAGTGTTACTAATTGTATAGAAAAGCAAAAAAAAGATTAAGAATATTCCACAATACATCCTTCAGTTTACCATTTTTTCCCCTCTGCTTTTTTTTCTTTCATATTTAAAAAGGTTTTTAGAGTCTCAAACTATGTAGTTCAGGCTGACCTTGAACTCATTGTGTAATACAGGCTGGCCTTAAACACAGTGATCTTACCAAAGCCTCCCATGTTCTGGGATTATAGGTGTGCACTACCATGCCCAGCCCCCTCTGCTTTTCAATTTCATGCACTCATAGACTTCATAACTCTTAAGAGTTATATAAGGTCAGTTTTCTTACATTTTTCTAGAAAGTTCCTAATAGTAACTTTTTCTAGTATTTTCTTTGTAATATTTGTTTATGCATCACTTTGTTTCAACATTGTTAAATAATACTGGTTATAGTAGGTATCCTAAACTTATTCCAGTGAAATATGTTTTTAGGTGTATATTGAAATCTTTGTAAGAGCCTGATTTAAACTTAGTTTTTCTTTTTAATACTATATTTTGTGTTATGAGTTTTCTTGACTTGTATAGTTTTTCCCCATATATTCTGTAATTTTAGGTTAATTTTCCTTTGGCCCTAAAATTCTAAGAAAAAATTTTAACATAGTTGCTTAAGTTTTTCTAATTTTCACTTCTATTGTGTAGCTTTTTATCGTTTTTATAGAACTTTTCTGGCATTTTCTTTTTGTTGTAACATACAGCAAGAGTTTATGAATATCCAGGAGGCTATAAAGTAAAGTTATAATTAACTATAGACTGATAGCTAGATAATGCTGAATGCTAATTTTTCCATGTATATAAATTGATTACATTTTTAAATATATTATAGAATGTAAGTAAAACATATAAAGGAGAAATGTTAATAACAATCCCACTTTTAATCATAGAACATATGTTGTCAGTTTTGGCAGATGACTCCTCTTTGAAAAAACAAACCACCAGATGTATATGCACATGCATGTACATACACACACACACACGTGTTAAGGGAGATAAAATACCTTTGAAAAAATCTTACTTATTTAAATTAAAATGTTCATAATTATATTTGAATTTAATGTCTTTACTAAAATATTGGTAAAGATGTCTTTACAAAAATATTGTATAGTTCCCAAAAGCTTAGATCCTCTAAGATAAACAAAACAGATTAGGGAAAACATTTTACAGTAGGAAAGTTGTTGGTGCCAGTATAGTTTTTACCAAATTTCTGTACATGGTGATACCTTAACAAATTCTGGTACCATATTATAGCTAGGATATTGACATTGATGCAGTCAAGGTTCAGAACAGTTTCATTATCATGAAGATCTTTTGGGGCTGGGAATTTAGCTCAGTGGCGTAAGTGCCTGCCTTGCAAGCAGACAGTTGTGAGTTCGATC